GCAAGTTCATTCGTTGGTCTTTCTAGAGCTTTTACTTTTTTCCAACAAATAACTTCTCTTCAATGTTGCAAGAAATATTCTCTAAATATTTTGCTTTGAAAATTAAAATGATTTTATCTTATATTTACAATCTTTTTGGTGTTAAAAAACAAAAATTATAATAAATCAGAATTCAACCATTTGAATTGACACGTTTTCGAAAGGATTTCATGCGCGACAAAGTTATATTTTAATGTGGGGTTATCAATGAGGGATAGTTGAGTTATAGTTTAACTAGTATTTAAAGCCCAAGTATTAAATTTATTTTTAAAATAGAATAGTATAACAACAGACATTCATAAACCAACACAAAATATACAAAACACAAAGTTAAACTAAGTGTGCTTGGATCAAAAAAAGTAGAACTCATGATTCAAATGTTAAATAAACAAAAAGGGTGCAAACAAAAATCTAAAATTCTTGTGTGAACATTATAAGGAGAAAGAGGAACATGTGCATTGTTGAAGAAGACTTGGTTCTTCATGTGAAATCTTAGCTTCTCCTTCCTTGATAACGATATAGTCATCCAGATCTGTTTCCATTGCTGATCTCAGATTCTTCTCTTTAGGGCAAAAGATTCACAAACTAAATTACCAAAACGAATCTGTAAACCGAACGGAAAATCGCAAAACTTTGAAGCTTTTGCAACGAACAAAGAGACAGCGAAAGATATGTGAGCAAAGATGTGTCGACTTGTTTGAAGGAAATCAGACTCGCTTCATTTAGTGTCATGGACAAAAACAAAACCAAGCATCAAATACGAAGATCTTCTATCATAAAAATCTATCGAATTTTAATAGAAAAATAAATTAGAATAGAAGTATGACCTTCTCATCGATCGACCAGAAGAAGGTTTAATCCAGCAAAAACACCAAGATTTTCTGCTCAGTGAAAAATTCAGCATTTTGAGATTTGTGATGGGAATTAGTATAGAGAAAGAAAAGATTTAGATTTGAAAACAACTTCAGTTTCTTGCTTTTTGAACATCGAAGAAGAGAAGTTGAAGGTGAGTGGAGACGAGTTCGTGGGGGATAAACTTTACTGTTTTTTTTCTCCAGTTAATTCGGGTATTATAGATACATTCGGGTAAAAATAACAAAAAGCAATTTGTTTCCCTATCTTGAAACCTTTTCTCCTGTAAAGTTTGAGTGAGGATTTTTTGACTAATTGATTTATTACTATTTAAATGACTCCACAATTCCTAAATGAGGAGTTAAAATGAGTCCATAATGTGAAACATCGCTTCCATTTGATAATTTGTAGAATCGATACATTTTAGGAAAACAAATCGCTTTTTGTTATTTTCATGATAAAGAAAGCGATATCACAAGCAGTCAAGCACTTACTATCATTAATTAGTTAGGCACATTGATATGCTTAATCTGAAACATAGAAAATACAAGAGTTGTATCAACTAAAAGATGTACTTGAAAAACAAAACAAAAACAAAAAAAGTTATAAAAGAAACTGAGATAGTATATTCTCAAGTGTCACATTAATGAATGAAATATGTTTTATTCGAAAAGCTAATACAGGCTTTGCTCGTTTTATTCGAAACCATATATAATAAGATACCATTAAACTAAACGTTATTATGATTCACATTCACAAAAGTCACCAACGAATAAACGAATAGTTTTATCTTTCTCTACCCTCGAAAGACCCGATAATCCATAACTTCTTGAAATTACGTCTTTACCCTCGCCACTCCATACACTGCGTTGTGGGTCTGGTTTTCTGCGAACCGGCCTTAACCGGACACGGCGTCTGTACCGGTGGCACCATACAATTGTATTGCAGACACAGCGAGCTGCTCACCGGAATATCCGCCGCCGGACTAATTTGTATTCCCGTCAAGAAATTATGTTGAAGGTATAGTGTCTGTATACTCGCTGACAATAACCGATCCACAAAGCTAACCGGAACTTGACCGGTGAACCGGTTATTGTTGAGGTAGAGATTCTGTACGTTGGAGAGAAGCGGAGAAATCTCGCCGGAGAATCGATTGTAGCTCAAATCGACGGTTGGGATTGTTACTTGATTACCCGGCTGAATCGCGCCGTAGAAGAAATTGCGTTGTAACTGAAGGTTCGTGATCGGGAAACCGAAGATCTGACCGGGAATTGCGCCGGTGAACCGGTTTAGACTGAGATCGAGGTAGCTGAGCTGGTTTAATCTGATTAAAACCCGGTTTACTGGTCCGGTTAGCTGATTCCAAGCGAGTGAGAGGTATTGTAGCGACGCCGGAAAAGACGTCGGAGAAATCACACCGGTGAGGTTGTTCCGTTTGAGATCGATTCGGGTTAGGGATTGAGTTCGGAATTGAGGAATTGATCCGTTTAAGTGATTGTGACATAGAATCAGATTGGAGAGCTCCGGTAAGGATCCGATTGACGGAGGAATCGACCCGGTTAACTGATTATAGCTCAGATCGAGCGTTCTGAGTCCCCGAAGCTCGCCGAGACTCGCCGGAATCTGACCGGAGATGAAATTCCGACTGATTGCGAGAAACCGAAGATTCTTTGACTTCGAGATTGTAACCGGTAACGAACCCATGATCTGACCCGGTACGATTGAGAACTCCGTTAAAGAAGAGAGTTTTCCGATAGCTGGATCGATCCGACCTGATAAACCGGGTGACCCGGCTCTAGGATCGCCGAGATTAAGAGCAATCACTTTATCACCGTCGCAGTAAACTCCGGCGAAGCTGCAAGGATCGGCGGTGAAATCCCAAGAATCGAAGAAATTGGAACCTGGCAAATCATCGAGCGATTTACGAATCGCTTGCAGAGCCAAGAAATCAACTGGGTCGATAATCGCGTCGACGAATAACCCGAATCGAAGAAGAAGAACCAAAATCCAAATCAAAGTAGCAAACTTCATCGTCTTCAAATTTAAATAGCCGTTACAGCTTCAAGTAGGAAAAAAAAAAAACAGAGACTTTATATATACACAAAACTCAAAAAGCTTTAAAGTTGAGAAACAGAGACTTACGAGTAAGTCAGTGAGAGATAATGGTGTGGTTGAAATGGGAGCTTCTGTGAGTGTTTTAATGGAGGATTTTTGATAAATGTCTGAAAAAAGGAGGGAAATTAAAATAAATTTCTTTGAGGTGAAGTGAAGTGAAGAGAGGCAAAAAGAAAGGTAATCAAAATGGCTTAAGAAGGAAGCGAAATCAAGAGCTGAATA